TGACGTAATGTAAAATAATTCGATTACGAGGGGGCACACTAGAATGGCGCAGTGACGGGAAAACGTCATTCAATTGTTACGTCATCAAAAAACTATACCTTTATTGTCTCATAATGTATTTATTTTTCGATTGTTCTAACCGCTAGGCATCTTAGAAACTAAATTAAACTCACTCACTCACTCATTTATTCCCCATGACATGTCCTTGCTAGGCATGGCTCAAGACCACACATTTTTGGTACATGTATTTTGTTTTGAATTTTTGCCAACCAATGAGAATATTGATCAGAATAAATGCATGTATTTTAGTTATATTTGGCTTAAAGTTGTTTGGGTCTGTTTTTTTATTGCTGAGAAGCTAATGCTGTTTACCATATCTTACATAACCTACTTACAATGTGGTGGATCATTGTTGTTTGATGGCCAGGCAAATGAAACTGAAATTTAATTTATTTTTCATTTCCTGATGGTGTCTTTTCATTCAGTTGGTTGAACAGGAAACAAGTGTTGCCTAAAGTACATGTTCAAGGTCAGGAGATGTTTCATGTATTGAACTTTAAGGATGTAGAAAACACCTCATGGATTCTCAGCAACCAATCAACTATGAGCAGCTGCCACCTGTTGATTGGCTTTGCATGAAAACATTGTAAACTGTTGATTGGCTCTGCATGAAAACATGGCCAGCTGTTGATTGGCTCACAAGGAAAACATTGTAAACTGTTGATTGGCTCTGCATGAAAACATGGCCAGCTGTTGATTGGCTCACAAGGAAAACATTGTAAACTGTTGATTGGCTCTGCATGAAAACATGGCAAGCTGTTGATTGGCTCACAAGGAAAACATTGTAAACTGTTGATTGGCTCTGCATGAAAACATGGCCAGCTGTTGATTGGCTCACAAGGAAAACGTTGTAAACTGTTGATTGGCTCACAAGGAAAACATTGTAAACTGTTGATTGGCTCTGCATGAAAACATGGCAAGCTGTTGATTGGCTCTAGGAAAAACTTGATTGGCTCACAAGGAAAACCTTGTAAGCTGTTGATTGGCTCTGCATGAAAACATGGCAAGCTGTTGATTGGCTCACTAAAGGAAAACATTGTAAACTGTTGATTGGCTCTGCATGAAAACATGGCCAGCTGTTGATTGGCTCACAAGGAAAACGTTGTAAACTGTTGATTGGCTCACAAGGAAAACATTGTAAACTGTTGATTGGCTCTGCATGAAAACATGGCCAGCTGTTGATGGCTCACAAGCTGTCACAAGGAAAAACGTTGTAAACTGTTGATTGGCTCACAAGGAAAACGTTGTAAACTGTTGATTGGCTCTGCATGAAAACATGGCCAGCTGTTGATTGGCTCACAAGGAAAACATTGTAAACTGTTGATTGGCTCACAAGGAAAACATCGTAAACTGTTGATTGGCTCACAAGGAAAACGTTGTAAACTGTTGATTGGCTCACAAGGAAAACAGTAAACTGTTGTAAACTGTTGATTGGCTCACAAGGAAAACATTGTAAACTGTTGATTGGCTCTGCATGAAAACATGGCAAGCTGTTGATTGGCTCACAAGGAAAACATTGTAAACTGTTGATTGGCTCTGCATGAAAACATGGCCAGCTGTTGATGGCTCACAAGGAAAACGTTGTAAACTGTTGATTGGCTCACAAGGAAAACATTATAAACTGTTGATTGGCTCTGCATGAAAACATGGCCAGCTGTTGATGGCTCACAAGGAAAACATTGTAAACTGTTGATTGGCTCACAAGGAAATCATTGTAAACTGTTGATTGGCTCAGAAGGAAAACCTTGTAAGCTGTTGATTGGCTCACAAGGAAAACATTGTAAACTGTTGATTGGCTCTGCATGAAAACATGGCCAGCTGTTGATTGGCTCCTGTTGTAATAACAACTTACACATGGCTCAAGTGTTAATCGCTTGAAACAATGTGTACATCCTCAAAGGCTAGCAACCTTCTCTGTGTCGTACAGAGGTAGCCTAGTGGTCAAAGCATTTGCTCATCATGCCAAAGACCTGGGTTCTTTTCCCCACATTGGTACAATGTGTGAAGCCCATTTCTGGTGTCCACCGCCGTGATGTAGCTGGAATATTGCTAAAAGCAGGGTCAAACACTCACGAATGAGATGATGAACATGTCATGCACATGTCTGCAATACCAGTGTCTGATTATTAAGACTGCAGGGGCTGTGGGGTAGCCTAGTGGTTAAAGCGTTGGCTCGTCACGCCGAAGACCCGGGTTCGAATCCCAACATGGGTACTATGTGTGAAACCCATTTCTGGTGCCCCCCGCTGTGATATTGCTGGAATGTTGCTAAAAGCAGAGTAAATGTAAACTCGCTCACTAGGGCTGCAATGTATCATATCACAGACATTTGGTAACAACTACAGTCACAAAACATCAGTTGATGTATTATGCATTACATCCAGGGATACAACCAAATATATGTTTGACAGGTTAGCCGTGTTAATCTACCATGACCAGCGACCTCATTACTGCCACATCAATCATACAAGAATGCTGACTATTATGATTATGCCTGGCTTGAATATATTCAACTAAAAACACAGCTTTTTAAAAAATTAATGACTATTCATTTCTAGTCATTACAAATAGTGAAATGAATTGATGAAGGGATATGGTTTGATTCACTGAATATCCAAGTGAATTGTAACAGGCCTACTTACTAAGAATTCTACACTGACAGCGTGAAATACTCGACTGACTGACTGAGTTTGGTTTTACGCCACTTTTAGCAATATTCCAGCAACATCATGGCGCGGGACACCAGAAATGGGCTTCACACATTGTACCCATGTGTGGATTCAAACCTGGGTCTTTGGCGTGACAAGCCAACGCTTTAACCACTAGGCTACCCCACCGCCCTGAAATACTTGAATTTGATTGGACAATCAATAAAATTAGACACTATCAATCCTGGATTGAAAATGTGTCTGATTTCAACCGCTTCAAGTATACAACATTTTACTACTTTGTTTCACCACCAACATGGCTAATATCAACACAACAGACGTGATGGAAATGCTTCTAAAACATTTATTAAATTTTATGATTTTTCCTCCACAATTATTAGGGAACCTCCCTAACCCATTACTTTGTATTATAAAAATATTAAACTCAATTACAATGCTCAGCCCCAAACATAGACAAACAATATCTGACTTATAAATCAGAAAGCCTTGTCAAAATACATCCCTATTTATACAAAATTTGCAGAAAAACTTTAGTAAGCATATGCCTACTCAGGGCTTGATTTAGTGATTTGTTACTTGCACCGGTGCAACCCAATATTATACACAGTGCAACCTAATTATTTGTCTAAATTGCACCAGGTGCAAGTCCATTTTTGAGAAATAAATCAACAATAAATCTGACATTATAAACATAATTATGTCAGCTCATTTTTCTTCTAAACTTTGAATAATTCAATAGCATATTTCTGCCATTACATATTGCAATAAAAGCAGTGCAACTGGAATTTGGCTGGTGCAGCTAGGTAGGTTTTTATCTTTGGTTGCACCTGGTGCAAGTAGGTAAACATCCCTTAAATCGAGCCCTGCTACCTGGTAAATGGTGTATTTGTTTCCGTATAGAAAGGGAAATTTGCAAGATAATGGTCAGGCGACACCAAATTTATGCCACTCATACTCCATCATGTCCCGATGCATCGTTAAAAAAATACATGCCAAAAACTGAACCACCAGAATTCTGCTCTCTGTCAGCTTCCCGCAAGGCTGTCCCTGCTGGTGATCTATGTTTGTACACTTTGACAATAGCCACAATCCAGTCCCAAATGATGAAAACAATTTCCAAGGAATCCCAAGTTAGTCGCATGTACACAAATCATTGTGTTAGGCCAGCACTGTCACGCTACGCGTTCGGCTTCAAATGAAATTTAGAAACTATCAATTCGGTCTAACATTCATCCAATTTCCAAACACAGAAATATGAACAAAAGTTTCATGTGATCTGCCTCATGTAGACGATGTCCCTTTCAGCCTAATCGATGTTCTTTGTTTTGTTCGTTTACCCATTGGTAAGGAGTTTGTGATCATGAAATAGAGTTACGGGATCTTTCTCTTTTAGGTTTGGATTTGGTTTTGTTGGTTTAGATATGTTGATAATCTACTGAAACAAATTCCTTTGAGTGATTAGGCAACATAGTGATAAAAAAATATATGTAAAAAGATCAGGGAAAACCAGTGATGACACCATGTGTTCAGATCAACACATCCTGCTCTTCTGATAGAGCTTTCCACTCACAATTTTTGAAAAAGGCAATCTGTGCCAAACATTCTGAGACTACGAGCCAGAACTTGGGGCACAGTAGTGCAGTGGTATGGCCTGTCGTGCTGAAGGCCCAGGTTCGATCCCTGGTGGAGGCACCTAGGTTCAGGACCCGAGGTGGGCACATTTGCGTAGTATCCTTGGACAAGATACTTAGATCCACATTGTCTCAGTTCACCCAGCTGTAAAATTGGTAACTGTGAGGATGTGCTGGTAATGTGAGTGTTAGTTGATTGCGCCTAACAGACAGCATGGCTGTATGATCCCCAGGGAGTTGAAAAGGTATCGGAATGTACGATGGTGTACTATGACCGGGGATAGTAATGTATGTAGTGCCGTGAGCAGGCAATGTGCCTGGATATGAGCACCATATAAGCGGACTATTACTATTACTATTAGTATTTGGATTAGAATTTAGTGTATTTGTGGACTTTCGATAGCTGAGCTCACTCGGCCAGACAATTTTACCACACTGGGGCTAAAGACTAGTGGCTAAAGTCACAGACTGAAGTTGTAGCTATACTAATTACACTGGTACATATCTGGCTTTTGACAATTTTAGGACACATTGATGTTGTAAATGATGGATTGTCGGTTTCCTGTGAACGCATGAATGATTTCTGCACCTACTGATGATGGAGAAGACTTGTACCAATGCAAGATGTTCTTCCTTTCAGGGCTTCGCGGTTATGGCAGTTATTACGAAGCTTGTTCAACCTATAAGTCCTGGCGAGGGCTGTCTGATCAGACGCTTCCAGTGGAATCAGACCAGTCCTCCATGGATCCAGATCAGTCCGTGTCCACAAGGAATTTACCTGAACCAATCGGCGGACTATATTACTGCCCGCATTGTGACAAGGCGTTCACCAGTCAGGGCTCCAGGAGGAACCATATTGTGTCTGTTCATGGGAAGGTGACCTTCCCGTGTGTTTGTGGGAAGGTTTACAGCTACCAACCTGGGCTTATCAGACACAGAAAGACTTGTCCATTTTGCACCTGAGATGGAATGTGTGGATTTGTTGTTCCATTGAATAAATATTTGGTGATCATAGACTCTGGAATGAAGGCACATCCTGTTCATGTCCTTTGGAAGGTCACGATCCCAGTGTTTCAGCCACAGATTCTGGGATCAAGACACATCTTGTTCATGTCCTTGAGAAGGTCATGATCCAAGTGTTTCAACCATAGACTCTGGGATCAAGTAACATCCTGTTCATGTCCTTTGGAAGACCATGATCCCATTGTTTCAGCCATAGACTTTAGGATCATGTCTCATTCTGTTCATGTTCCTACATGGGTCACAATCTCCTGTTTTTAGTGAAGAGATCAAGGCACATGCTCTTCATGTCCAGGGGAAGATCACAGTCCTCTGTGTTTCAGCTAAACAGCTTCTGCAAATATCAAGTGTTTGAGTTTGGACTCGGTAACATTGTAATTCTTAAGGGCATTGCTCTGTACTTCAGGTTATTTCTGGGAACGTACTATTGACACAAGTCTACACGTTCTGATGTGACAGGACAATAAACAATCATGGTCTCAGGTAGATTTTTGACATACTCCTTGCACACTCTGCCCTTCTTACAAGCATGGTGTATAACTTTAGGGTGAACATCTGGAGGGCATTGTCAAATTGGACACTTCAGTGAAAAACATGGCCCATGCTATTCCCTATTTTTACTCTTACCATTTGTCCCAGTGATATTTCAGGTGAATGATTGACTTGCCTTAGCATGTGTTTATGATAACTAGACATATCATACATAGAAGGGTTCGATTGGGAGAACTTTAAGCTTCAGTGAGGGGAATAATTTATGGGCTATTTGGTGTCTCTAGGAGAGTGATCATTTATCATTTAGTGAAAAGTGTTCAGCTACCAGAATTCTTTCATGTCCTTTGACATTTGTCTCCCCACACACGTTTTATCAAGGAGGATAAATATCTTAATGTCCTTTGGGCCTTTTAAGAAAAAACAGTTTTGTAGTCAGAAAGATTTGTGTTCTACACGGTTAGGAACACTTCACACATTGTTTTATGGAAAGTGTTGACATTGTGTTTAGGTTGGAAGATTGTTGAAATTCTACAGACTCAGTTAACCTTTCTTTGGTTTACTAATAATCAGTTTTGAATAAATCAATGTGAATGCACCTCTTTCAGCTGGGTTGTTAGTGTTTCAAGCATGTGAGTAATAAGTGGAAAATAAGGAAGTGATTAAGGGCATGCACTGAATGACATGACTGGTATTCATGATAAAGAGTGTTTCAGAACTTGGTATTGTTGAAATCTGGCATATTGTTGAATTATTATTGAATACACATCTATTCCTCAGAACACTGTGGTAAATCCCAAAAAAAGTTTTGAAAAGGAGAAAATTACTGTGGATTCCTTATCTGTCATAGAGTATTGGATGAGATATATAGGACTCTTCTGTCTCTCTGGCTGAAGCATTTCCCTGGTTTTAGAACATAGAAAATCCTCTCTAACATGATCTAGAACAAATCTTTTGTTTCTTTCAGATTTTCAAGGTTGTGGCAACTTTTCGAGAAGCCTTCAGCCCAATCGCAATGTCAACCAGTGGTATGGTGCAAAAATCAGAAAAAGGAACGAAAACTCACTTTCATTTGACAAGAATTTTGTCCAGTTTAATATTCCCAACCCAGGAATGATCAGTTCTAGTCAAGTTGGTGGTTCTCGAGCAGGTTCTGAACTCTCCGGGGGCTGTTACCCATGTCCAGAGTGTGGCAAAGTGTTTGCCAGTACGGGAGCTCGGTGCAATCACGTGGCAGCTGTACACAATAAGAAAACCTATAATTGTGTGTGTGGGAAATCCTATGCTTACAATACAGGCTTGTTGGCTCACAGGAAGAATTGTCCTGTTGTAGCAAATGCAGGGCCTTGATTCATTAGTTTAATTGTTAGCGAAGTTGATTTACATCCTCAGTCTTTAGAACAAAAAAAGTTATAAAGGTTCTGTGTGTGGCAAATCTTTGGAAACATTTTACAAGAACATATTCTGTCCATCACTTGTAACAATAATACTGATCACTTCAGCCTGTAGGGATATGTTTCACAATTGCTTCAAACCTTTCTGAAGAACTGGTTTTAAGGCTGTGGTGAGATTTCTTTCTCAGGAAGATGTGTTGTGACGTTCTGGAAAAAACATACGTGGTGTTTGCCATAGTGGTGGTCTGATTAATTGAAATAATCGAAGATTGGTCACAGTGACTAAACGACCTAGCAATTTTCTCATAATCGAACACGAACAATTTTGGAATATTTGTTTGCATTAACAATATTTTTCACAAGGTTGGTTTTGTTTGTCATTAAATTTACATTTCATATGCACTACAAATACGTTCCAGGTCCGATCGAAGTAAACTTAGGCTCAGTATTATCTATTATACATACCGTTTGAACCTTTACCTAAAACACTTGAACGATTCCGAATGCTATTTTCCGCACGATCGCTTCCGAGTGATACACGCAATAAGTAAACAGTCACTGAAAATAGCGTTTTTGTCAATATTCAAGGATGTCATCTTTAGAAAATATAAGCAAACAGTAACCATGTCATTAGAAACCCATAAGCGTATATACTGCAGGTCAAATATCTGTGTTTTATGCAGATTTTCGTTTGTTGATAGATCAGTGTCAGCGACCAGGGAAGAGAAAATCCAAAAACCGTTTTGTAAGTCCCACCGAACCCTAACAAGTAGTCATTCTAACCCCAACAAATAGTCGTTCTCTGATTAATTAAATCTGTCTGTCCGTCTCGCGTTTGATTGGATGGTCATAGGTCACTCAAAGGTTAGCAGGCGCGACCTTCTACTAGGTTTTGTTAGACTCATTATAGCTTTGTAACGAATAATACTGAGCCTAAGTTTACTTAGACTGGTTCCAGGTCATGATTGAATTTATCTGAAAGACTCCAGAAAATATATGTTCCTAACATACTAGTCATCCTTTAAAGATGTGAAATTTGCAGATGCATATTGTGCAATTTGCAAAAAACATCCCTGAAGAATTACGTTTTTTCTTATTTTTTTGCGCATTAAGAAACATTACACGGAAATTTGATAAATGATGCTAACCAATTATTTCCGATGATTGATCGGTTGTAATGAACCAATCACCAATTATGAGATTTTAACCAATTAACCAAAGTGATCAAGTGTTGTGCTTTTCTGAAACATGAATGAGAATTTTTGTTTGGTACAAAGTGACCAAGGTTTGTGTTTTAGTAAAATATGAATAAGAGGTTTTGTTTGGTACCACGTGATAAAAGGGTTTTGTTTACGTGAAACATGAAGCTATTATTTTTTTTGTTGCTCTCTGATGTTGAAGTCCTTCGTTTGAGTGCATTTGTGATTTGTCTTTCGCGAAAACTGATATTACCTGGCAGTTCCAAATGAAAAATAATAAAGCACACACAGTTATGTTAATTTGAATATTCTACATACCTTGTTATTTCTGAATGTCATGCTGGCATTGGACTTGGTTGACACGTGTCATCGTATCCCAATGGTGTAGATCAATGCTCATGCTGAAGAATAATGACAATTATTATGGATATATAACTTCTTTTATTCTGTGAAGCAAGTGACAACGACATTAGAATCTATGTCGAAACGTCGACGCCACAGAATAAAAGAAGTTGTATATCCATAATAATTGCCATTATTCTTCATCAACTCAACTTCTAAAATGCCAATCAAAGAAAAGCTCATGCTGTTGATCACTGGATTGTCTGGTCCAGACTGGATTATTTACAGACTGCCGCCATATAGCTGGAATATTGCTGAGTGTGGCGTAAAACTAAACTCACTCACTCATGTCGAGGGTATGTTTGTGATGGTTTTTGTTTCTGGGTGTTGAAATGTCTGAACTGATATCAGAAAATGGAGGCAAGTGCTGACATCTGATTGGCTGAGGAACCACTCGTTCTTTCAGGACTACTGATGGGATCTCCTCTGTCGGATGTATCAAATCATGATGTAGAGAGGTATCAGATCAAGTGTAGAAGATCTGACTTTTGGAGGTCAGGTCATTACAGCTTCTAAACAATTGTGCAGCAGTGATTGGCTTTAGTGATATTACTTCCCTCATGGTAATGCATTCGTTTATAAGTACCGTTGAGTATGAGAATGTGTTTCTTGGCGGTTTGACCAAGGGTTTGTATTTTAGAACATTGTAAATCACTTGACCATTTTTCATTAGATCTGAAAAAACATGTTCCAAATAAAGATGTGTTGAACACATGCCCTGTTTGCTGCTGTTTGTGGTTTATTATATTCATAAGGGACTGAGATTTCTGAGTTTGTGGAAAGTGATGTGTTCACATTCTCTTCCCACAGAGGTTACTTGTCATATCTTCCTACGAACCTCTGTTCTAATACGGCCCTTTCATGGTGCGAGTGTTCAGGATTCGTGATTGGTTGCAATCAGATTTAGTTGTGTAGTATCAGTTTATTGCATGAAGGCCAGAGGCCCATATACAGAATAAATATGTATGATATATACAACATATACAACATGCGACACACACGTTACATTGAATCTCTTCTCAATATAAGCGCGTGATAAATAAATAGAGCTACCTTATATTGTAATAGGGATGCTTTACATGAAAGTATTGAATACAGTTTTGTAGCATTAATATTTGATTGTAGCCATTGAGGAAAATACAGTTGCCTTAAATCATTATATGCAGGACAAAGAAATAGAAAGTGTAATTCATTCTCTACAGTATTACAAAATGGACAGAACCTTTGTGATTTTATAATAGATGAATATCTTCCTTGATTGATATATAAATCATTTAGGCCAAGTCTCAGGCGCATGAAAACACTACGAAGCTTTTACTACGTGAAGTTGTATAGATAATCGACTCAGGTTCAAGTAAAGATTTAAACTCACGATAGCAATCATATCTTGAACTTTCATATAAAGATGAATGCCAGTCTTGTTTAAAGATATCAATAGCCCTGGTACGAAAGAGTTTGATAAATGCATTAACGTCGCCCAGGGTTTGGGATAGCCAAACAAATCCAAAGCCGTATCTAAACAAAAGAATCTGAATCACGGGTTGCCCAAGTATTTTTACCAATATTATCAAGATGGACAATCATATTGTAGGTTTTTGGGCAGGCGATGTTCTGGCATATTTATTACTTTACACCAGTACTTTAAACAGCGAGAGTAAGAAATTATGTACAAAGGAAATCTCCCACATTCACCGTGACACCATATTATTAGGGGTAGACATCCCAACATTTAAAAACCTTTACATGCAAGAAGGTGAACCTTTTCAATGGCATAAAATTCTTATTGCCCCAAATTTCAGACCCATAAAGAAGAATAGGCTGTACTTGGGAATCAAACAATTTGAAAATATATTGGGACCAACAACCCCCAACTTTTGGTATAACAGAGAGCAATTGAAGTGCTGGGCCCTTTTCCCTCTAATTGCCAAATTAATAATGGATTTGTTCAGATTTAGTGTATGTGTAAACAGTATCCCTAGATATTTATATTCGTTAACAACAGTCATAACGCTCACATTTAAAAGTACCACTTTTCTGTAGCTGCCGTTGATACCCTTACGAAAAACAACAATTTTGGTCTTTTCAAGATTAACATCAAGTCACCAGTTATCTGAATAAGATGAAAGTGTATCAATTTGTCTCTGAAGGCCAATAACAGTACTTGACATAAGGATCACATAAATTAGGCAAAAAGTAAAATAAAAGTTCAACAAGATCAGGAAATAATTGGATGCCATGTCTGCCAGATTGTATAACGTCAAAAATATAGTTCGTTGATAAAGAATGAGAAAAGTATGGGGGCTTAGAACACAGCCTTGTCGTACACCAGTAGGACAATCAAAATAGTCACTGAAAGCATCATCACATCGAACACAAGACTTTACATTTGAATACATTGACCTGATAATATCAAACATTTTCCCTTTAAGACCCCTATTTCTAAGACATTTCCACATTTTATCTCTGTCAACAGAATCAAAAGCCTTTCTAAAATCAACAAAGGCTACATACAATTTTCTTTTACTAAAAGCTAAACATCAGCTCAATTACTGAGTATACAGTAAAAATATGATCAAAGGTTGAGTATTCCTTTCTAAATCCAGCTTGTGAATCTGGGATCAAGTCCCTCATATTTGACCACTGTGTTAGCCTATTGTTGATAATAGATACAAATGTTTTACCAACAACACTTGTCAGAGATATGCCCCGATAATTGTTAGGGTTATTTATGTTTCCATTCTTAAATAATGGAACAATTATTGATTTAGCCCGGAAAACATCTAGAATCAAATATCCGATTAAAGCTTTTAACTAGAAACGGCATTATCTCAGGCAAGGCAGTTTTGATCATCTCTGAAATAACACCATCCACACCAGCAGACTTTCCAACTTTAAGGCGAGATACAGCATCAACTATTTCTAATTCTGTAATAGGAGACTCAAGTAGAAACTTATCAACATCACTAAACTCGTCACATCCATTATCTGTATCTATTGTGTCATCATGTACATCATAGATAATATCGTCCTTAGACAACAAGTCCCTGAAGTGGCAAACCATTCTGTTTGTGATATACTTGATACGGTGGGGAGCCTCTTTGTAGGGTGCGAATATTTTGCCAAAACAGCCTAGGACTGTGGAGGGTACTATTTAGTCGACATAGCCTTGAGTTTTGCACTCCACAGCTTAAAAGCTCTCTACAGGAACTCTTATACTTATTTCTAATTTTACAATAGCTCCTCTTGATTCTGCTCAGTGCGACAGCGCCTAAACCGCCTAAGAGCCTTCCTTGATTCGATCTAGCTACATTACACTCCTTGTTAAATTTAAGTTTACGATTTAGATCACCTTGTCTAAACTGTCTCCTCATACAAGATGCTGAATCTAATATACACTTTATGAAATTGTCTATGCCCTCTTCAAGAGAAGTCTCCAATTTACTAAATATTGACTCATTATTGGCATCCAAACTTGCTTTGAGAGAACTTATAAATTCATTCTGCTTAGAAGCATCCCATACAAATTTACTAAAACTAGGAGTCTTAGCACAATCAACTGTCGGTTAGACCGGTATGTACAAGGAAACCTGAACGACAACTCCAGAGGAAGATGGTCAGAATCAGGTCTATCGCCAACATTTAACTTTTCTACGAACTCAAACAAATCAGCAGATGCAAGAAAATAATCAACGACACTTGAGCCATTTGCTCCAACAAAT